AATTGCATATTAACTGTGAAGGGTTTTTATTTCTTCACTGTCCTCATCCTACTAAACAAAAAGACAGAGTGATGGATGCTTGGATGCTACTATACCTTCTTGAATGTTTTGATTATTTTTACATAAATCTAATGAGTCTCTCTCTCTCTCTCTCTCTCTCTCTCTCTCTCTCACACACACACACACACACACCCCACCACCACCACCTTCCTGTGTTAAGGTCTGTCTGGCTTCCAGCTTTACCACAGCATGGCCATCTCACAGATGGGCTTTTGAGGCTTTCGTTGAGGAAATATGAGGTAGGGGAATACTTGCTGACAAAAGCTTTAAGTGCCCTTCTGCATTGCAATGAAAAAATATAGGAGCAGTGGGAGTGAACAATAACAAGAAAAAATGCAATAAGGAAAAAAAAAAGGATAACCCATGGTGGAGGGGGCAGGGAAAGGGGATTGTTTTTTTCTACTTTCACTCATTTATGAGTTGCAGTGTCTTAAGTGAGAGAGCCTGGCACTCAGATGAAGCAGTGCCAGTTCACACAGCACTTGTTTTGAAGGAGGATTCAATTTCATTTGCAAATGCTTATTGTCAAGGCAGGGAGTGCCAGTACAGTTGAAAGCACCCCAATCGTCTCCTCCAATTCTTTAGGGTAAATCACATCTCTCCAATCGCTGAGGGAACTGGAGATTTAAACAAACATACATGAACTGGTGTGAAGCTGTAAAAGGCACCATTATGTTTCCGATACAGAATATATATTCTTCTCTCACTTTGTAAGAAATAAACATGAGCTTTTCTCCCTTATTGATTAGTTGCTGAAGTAAAGGAACCCTGCCGCCTTCCCATGCTATCTGTTGACATGGAAAACAAGGAAAATGGCTCTGTCGGTGTAAAAAAGTAAGTGAAACTGGTTTCTGAGTTCTGCCTCTGCAAACAACAGAGGGACTTGGTTTCTATTTATTCTTCTGCTTATCTACTACAATACACTGTTTTGGGATTGTCTTGGTTGGTCTATTCTGGCCACCAGCCTCCCTCCTCCCCACAACCGGAGAGGCCTTTTTCTGTATTCCATTCCTAAAACAGAGGTGACTCAGACACCAATATGGGCAGGAAGGGTTTGTGTGTGAGGCTTTGGAACAAGGACAGTTGTGGATTTGAGCCCTGCATTCTGCATATTGAAACAAAAACACAGAGCAAATATAGACTCTGCCTTTCAAGTCCACAAGGCTACAAGGGTGGGGACAGAAAATAGAGTTGGAGTTTTTAATGAAAAAAATCATCTTGAACTCTCAAAATTAAGAGTTCGAGTGAAGGAAGGAAAACAGCTTCAGTAAGAATACCAAGTTTAACAATTTCTCTCTCAATTTTATGAACTGTTGGTTGAATGTGAAATATTTCAGTGCATACTATAGCGTTCTTATTTTAATACCTCTCCTCACATTTGAGGTTTCTGATTATTTGTTGTATAAGAGTTACATGGTTGATTATTTAAATAGGAAAATTCAGTTGCAATATGTAGTGTAATGTTCTGAAACTCAGAAGATAAGGTATTTGTGAGTGTATGAAAAAATAGACCTTCTCATTCATGGGCTGTATTGAAGCTATAACCTGTGTAATCCAAGGAGAGAGAAAGTAAGTTTCAAGAGGGTGTTATTTGTTTCATTTCTTTCCTTGTCTTTTGGTATAAAACTGCCCTCAACTTGCACTTTGGAGGACAGTGAGTAAATATATAATCCATAGAAGCTGTGATATCTAAATAAGGACATAGTGTGCTATATGTTGATGCATAGAAGTACATTTTACTTCATAGTAAAGTCATATTAAAATAAACTTATTCAACTCCGCTTTTTAAAATTCTCAGATAATTTATATTTGAGTTCCATGCTGCATTGCCTACTTCCACCTTTGTCTTGAAGTCTGGAGTAGGTATATGTAGAAAGAATGAAACAAAAAGATATGTTTTTATATATGAATTACCCGAGTGCTGTCCCATAGTACTTCCTGTAATGATGGATGTGTTCTATTCTTGTGCTGTCCGATATGGTAGCCACTAACCACATGTGAAACAGTTCTGGTAGCACAATGGTTAAACCATTTGACTGCTAACCAAAAGTTTGGTGGTTGGAACCTACCAGCTGCTCCACAGGAGAAAGATGAGGCAGTCTGCTTCTGTAAAGATTTATAGCCTTGGAAACCCTATGGGCGTCTCTATGAGTTGACATTGACTCGATGGCAGCAGTTTCAGTTTTTTGGTTTAGCCACATGTGGTCATTGAAAATTTGAAATGTGACTAGGGCAACTGAAGAACTGAACTTTCACTAAATTGTAATCAATTTACACTTTATTGAAGTGTAATGAGCAGATAATAAACAGCTTGCATTCAGCATGTGAAATTTGAAAAGTTTTGATATTTGTGTACACTCAAGAAACCATTAGTTACAATTAAGATAATGAACATACCCATTACCACCAAAGTTTCCTGTATGCATTTATAGTAGCTCTTTCCTGTCCTTCCCTGCCCCCACACCCCCAGGCAACAACTGACTGCTGTCTGTTACTATAGATTAATTTGCCTTATCTAGTATTTCATATAAATGGAACCATACAGAATGTACTACTTTATTTTTTGGTCTGCTTCTATTCACTCAGCATAATTAATTTGAGATTCATCCACATTATTGTATGTATCAATAATTTATTACTTTTTATTACTGAATATTTCATTGTATGAACATAAAGCAGTTTGTTTACTTTTTATCCCTCCATACGTTTCCAGTTCTTAGTTACTACAAATAAAGCTGCTTTGAATATGTGTGTACAGGTCCTGTGTGGACATATGGTTTCATTTTTCTTAGATAAATACTTAAGAATAGAATGGTTGGGCTATATGGTCAGTATATGTGTAAATTTTTAAGAAACTGCTAAACTGTTTTCCAAATTAGTTGTACCATTTTATAGTCCCACCAGCAGTGTGTGAGTGCTCCAGTTATTCCACAACCTCATGAAAACTAGCATGATCAGTCTTTTTCATTATAGGCATTATATTACATATGTTTTCTAATTTTTATTTCCCTAATGAATAATGATGTTGAACATCTTTTCATGTGCTTATTTGTCATCTTTCTGTCTTCTTGGGTAATAAAGCTTTTGCTCATCCTTTTATTTATTTGGTATTGATAAATTTAGAGAGCTCTTATATATTCTGGATATAAGTCCTTTATCAGATATGTTGTTGTTGTTGTCATGTGCTGTTGAGTCAGCCCCGACTCATAGCGACCCTTCCTTGGGTTTCCGAGGTGTTATCACTATGGAAGTAGATTGCCCAACCTTCCTTCCGATGAGTGGCTGGTGGGTTTGAACCACCAGCCTTCTGGTTAGCAGTCAAGTGCCTCAGGCACTATGCTACATTTTCTCCTAGTAGGTGACTTACCTTTTCATTCTTTCTACAATGTCTTTCAATGTGTAGATTTCTAATTTTTATAAAGTCCAATTTGTCAATTTTTCCTTTATGGGTAGTGATTATGGTGTCATAGCTAAGAAACCTAACCCAAAGTCACAAAGATGTTGTCTTATGCTTTCCTCTAGAATTTTTACAGTTTTAGGTTTTAGATTTAAGACTAGAATTTTTCAGTCGATTTTTGTCTATAGTATGAGGTAAGAATTAAAGTGCTGGTGATTGTTTTGTTTGCCTGTATATATTTCATTGTTTCACCATTTGTTGAAAAGACTACTCTTTCTCCACTTCTGCAAAAATGATTTTGCAGCTTCATTGAAAAAATAATTGATGACATATGTGTAGGTCTATTTCTAGACTCTCTATCCTATTCCATTGATCTCATGCCAACTCCACATGGAATGACATCTGAACAATACTGTGTCTTCCAATCCATGAACACAGTATATTTCTATTATTTCCGGTCTTCTAACCAAAAATGAGTTCTTGTAGCATAGTGCCCAAGGCACTGCTAACCAGAAGGCTGGTGGTTCAAACCCACCAGCCATTCCTCGGAAGGAAGGTTGGGCAGTCTACTTCTGTAGTGATACTGCCTCAATGGCGGTGAGTATGGTGTTTTTTTTTTTTTTTTTAATCATTTCTCTTAGCAATGTTTTACAGCTTTCAATGTGCAGATATTATACCTCTTTTTTATACATGCATCACTGCATATTTCAGATTTTTGATAGTTACAAATGGTATTGGTTTTTAAATTTTTAATTTCAGAGTCTTGAATAGTGATTACCAACAAATCAATTAGAAAATACAAAAACCCCATAGAAAAATGGGGGGAAAAAAAAAGAACATATCTTTCACAGAAGAAAAAAAAAAAGAAAAAAAAAATATGATGTTCCAATTACCAGTGAAGAGTTTATAAACATTATAAACATTCTTTCACTTAATCACAATTAAAGAAAAAAAAAAAACACCTGTTGCCTTCAAGCCGATTCTGATGCATAGCAGCCTGTAGGACTGGGTAGAATTGCCCCATAGGGTTTCCAAGACTATAAATCTTTATAGCAGCAGACTGCCCATATCATTCTCCTGCAAAGCAGTTGGTGGATTCAAACCACTGACCTTTCAGTTAGCAGCTAAACACTTTAACTGCACTACCAGGGCACTTTTTTTTTTTTTTTTTTTTATCATTACTGATCAAGAAAATGCAACCCAAGATCCTGGCGATATACCATTCACTTGGCAAAAATTTTTAAATCTCATAATGCCAGTCATTAGAAAGGAAGAATGAAAGAAGAATGTATTTTTATATATGAGTTCGATCAGTATATAGTGCTGGTGGAAGTATAAAATGTACAGCAACTTTGGAAAAAAGTTTGGCATTTCCTCTAGAGTAGAACAATCAAAAATTCCATAACCCAGCAATTCTATTCCTAGATATACACAAGTGCTGCTCCATAGAAACAAAGCCACATATGTAATTTTTATTTTTCTAGTAGTCATATTTTTAAAAGTAAATAGAAACAGATGAAATTAATTTTAGTAATATATTTTATTAAACTAATATATCCAAAATGTTATCATATCAACATATAATCAATATAACACATTAGTTTACTTTTTTTGTACCCAATTTTCTAAATTGTATGTCTTTTATACTTGCCGTATATCTCAGTTTAGACACAAAATTTATGCTTCACACAACTTAACTAAAAAAATAGAATCACATACTCAATAATTCCAAACACACTTATAAGTTTTCCAATAATTGAAACAAGCACCAAAAAATTATTTTCCACATTGACAAAACTGATTCATCTTTCATACAAGATTTCATTTAATTTCAAAATAAAAGTATATCAATTTAAAAGCATACATCTGCCTGGGTTAAATAAATTTACTCTTATGTCAAGCTCAGTAGTGTTGTTGTGTGCTGTTAAGTTGATTCCAATTCACTGCAACGTTATAGGGCAGAGCAGAACTGTCTTATAGGGTTTCCCAGGCTTGAGATTTTCCAAATCTTTACAGAACCAGATTGCCACATCTTTCTTCTGCACAGCAGCTGGTAGGTTAGAATCACTGATCTTCTGTTAGTAGCTGATCACTTAACCACAGTACCACCAAGCCTCCTTAATTAAATATTATTAGCATTGAATTAAAAGGGGATATTAAGCAACTAGGAGCTCTGGTGGCATAGTGCCTAAGGCATCTGACTACTAACTGGAAGGCTGGTGGTTCAAATCCACCAGCCACTCCTTGGAAGGAAGATGGAGCAATCTACTTCCGTAGTGATACCGCCTGGGAAACCCAAGGAGGGGTTGCTATGAGTTGGATCTCACTCCACGGTAGTGAGTATTAAGCAACTATAAGTTTTCTTAAAATTCACTATTTGCTGAAACTGTAAATATTGTCCATATTATTATCTTTAACATTTTTTGCATAGCAAAAA